CTATAATACGCTAGCACCTTTTCTTCTCCGTCTATATGCTGTGACAAAACGGCTCCGATTCCGTTGTTACTTGCATCAGTATCTAACACAAACGTCTTGCCACGAACTGGATATGCTAGCAAAGGAGCATCACATAGTTCAACTTTTAACTTTTCAAATGCTGAGTCGCATAGGGTATTCCAGTTGAAAACTCGGTCCTTCTCGGTAAGTTGTTGGAGAGGTCTGGCAACTTTTGCAAAATCCTTTACAAAATGTCGATAGTACGTTGCCAATCCCAGAAAACTGCGCAATTCATTTTTATTCTTTGGAGTTGGCCAGTCTTTCACAATTTCTATCTTGCTGGGATCGGTTCGAACTCCATCTGAAGATACCACATGTCTCAAATAGTTAACGTCTTTAGAAAATAACCTGCACATTTTAACGTTCAGCTTTAAATTTGCCACCCGAAGTCTTGTGAAGATCTCCCGTAAGTTTTCGACGTGTTGATCAAATGTTCTTCCTAGAACAATTATGTCGTCTAAATAGACAAGACAGGTTTTCCAGTTAAAACCTTGCAATACACATTCCATCAGTCGCTCGAATGTAGGTGGAGCATTGCACAATCCAAATGGCATGACGGTGAATTGCCACAACCCCGATCCGATAGAAAACGCTGTCTTTTCGCGATCGTTCTTGTCGATTTCTACTTGCCAGTATCCGCTTTTCAAATCAAGCGTAGAGAACCAACTTGAGCTAGATAGGGTGTCCATGATGTCATCAATCCTCGGTAATGGATAGCTGTCCTTTTTAGTCACATCATTTAACTTCCTATAACCAACGCTAAAACGGGTAGTGCCGTCCTTATTCTTTACCAAAACTACTGGCGAAATCCAGGGACTTGATGACGGTTCGATGACGCCTTGATTCTGCATTGTCGTTATCATTTCGTTTACTTCTGTTTGTTTTGCTAGAGAAAGACGTCGTGGTACTTGTCGAATCGGTTTCGAATCCTGAGTATCAATTCGGTGAGTTACCAGAGCTGTTTTACCTTGGTCATTGTCACCGGTTGAAAACACGTCTGCAAAATCAGCAATCAACGCCTCGGCTTTTAGACGGTCTTTTTGATACAAATTGAGTCCATCCAGTAGATTTTTGGTAAGTTCTTTGAGTCTACCTTTGTCAGTTGGTAGAACCTTTTCTTGTTGCTCCATATCTAATGATTCCACCAAATTTATTGATTGGTAATTACCTATTTCCTCGCCTTTTTTAATTTTAATAGTGTGTTTAGCGGTATTCATTATTCTGACAGGAATAAGACCATTTTCGTTCGCTTCTACCAGGCATTTTCCAATGACCGCGTTCTGTACATTTGTCGTTGAGGTTGGCTCCATCAAATAGAACTGGTGGCCCCCAGGATCGCAATTCAACTTGCCCCATACGATGTTTTCAGATGATTGAGGTAGTTCTATGTCACAATCGACTGTCACTCAAATGCATTTTTCGTCGCTATCCCCCATTATCACTTCTGTATTTCTCCATCTAAGAATGCGTTTTTCTAAGTCAATTTTGAACCCATATTTTGTCAAAAAGTCGACACCTATTAGGCATTCGTCGATGATATCCGCGACTAAGAATGAACCTTCGAATAACATGTCGCCTAGCTGAACAGTACGGAGAATCTTTCCATAGACTGGTGCTGTTCCTCCGGTAGCTGTTCGAAGGATGTATTTGTTAGAAGTCTCTTTCTTCAGATTGGGTACCAAATCAGATCTTAAAATCGATTTTGTTGCTCCGGTGTCGACTGTAATTACACATTCTCGTTGATCAACTTTTCCGTTCAGCCATAGGTCGTTTCGATTTCGATGTAGTCTGGAAACGTTAATTACGATACTGGGGGCGTCAATTCTACTAGCCAACCTCTGCCCCATAAAGTTGGCTCTTATTAGTTTTCCGCCCCTTCGTTAGAAGGGGCCGATCGTGATACAGGATCATCTTCTCTTCTTTTGCGCCATCTTGTCGCGCAATTTCGACAGTAGTTATCTTTTAGGCGGTGTTTACAATCACGACGTAGATGGCCTTTTTCACCACAAATCTAGCATTGGGGTACACCATGCTGTTGAGGTTCGCGTTTCACAACCACCTTCTGGCAAGGGCATTCTTTATGTACTTGGCGTAGACGTACGTCACTTTTTGATGCTTGCTTTGCCGATTCAAAAGTGAGACTGTGCGCAACAGCATCCTTGAGTTTTCGTTTATCTGACAAGAGAAGGGATTGCTTGAGTTCCGAATCACGAAGGGCTTTGATAAACGTATCCAGGGCAGTTTTGTCTCTATGCTCGGGGTCTGATGTCGGATACGACAGCAATGTCAACCGTTCGATATCTTGTGCCAGCTACTGAATGGATTCACCAGATCGTTGCGTTCTGTTTCTAAGTTGAGACCGATAAATCTGTTTCATGTGTTCTTCACCATAGCGTAAATCCAACGCGCTAACCAGAACTTCATAGTCGAAGTGGTTCTCCGCCGGAATCGTTTGAAGAACCTCTGCTGCTGAATCTCGCAGGGCCAATATCAGTGCTGTTGCTCGTTCTTTTCCGTTTCAACAGTTACTAGTTGCCGCTGCTTCGAACTGGGTTTTATAAACGTTCCAGGACATCTCTCCGTCAAATGCTGGTACCTTCAAAGTTCTTCCGGATGCGTGATTTAACGGCATGGTCATTTTTTTGGATTGCTCCAATTCTCGCTTCAATTTGTCTATCTTGTGATCTACCTCAACGGTCTGACGATCAAGTTTCTGCTCAATCATTTCTATTCTTGTTGACTGTTCTTCAATCTGTTCTGCCACTTCCAATTTTACGTGTTTTAGCTGGTCCTTGATCTGTTTTAACTCCTCTGTCTGTTGTTCGGACTGTTCCTTGATCTGTTGTTTTAACTCTTCTGTCTGTCGTTCGGACTGTTGTTTTAACTCTTCTGTCTGTCGTTCGGACTGTCGTTCGGACTGTTCTTTGATCTGTTTCATTTCAGTTGACATACTAAGCAGAAGTTCCATCATTTTAGCGGTTGTAAACGTGCCTGTACTAATTTCATTGTCTTCGTCAGCACCATCAAACTTGAATTCGTCTGGGTTCTTACCTTCGTCAATGAGAGCTTCTCTCAGACGTGCTACTAGTACTTCTTTGTTGCCACTTGTGACAAGGCTTTGTTTCTGTAGTTCTTCTCGTAGCTGAACTACGTTCAAACCACACAGTTTTGACATTGTGTTCTTTTTCTATGAGTAGTAATTCGCTGGTCGAAGATCCCACTTCTGACACCAATGTTATAATACTCGCTGTCGTAACTGATTTACGATGCGACGGGTTCAAATCTTCGATTGAATAAAATACTCCAAACAGTTATTAGTTATTAAACTTTATTTACAGAAGAAATCAACTAATCGTTTATTTCTAGCAAATTCAAATTAACGCAACAATTAACTTTTAAATTGTTTAAAATCTATCGCTATGACAACGTCAACAAACAAATCAAATATCGCTTTAAATAATTCACCGAATCGCTATTCACGAAATCACAAAATCACGAATTTCACTAATCCCGAATCTTCTTGCGACGTGCGCTTATATACTCTTCGCAAGCGTCGTTTCTAGATGGTCCGATTCTAGCATACTCTAGTCTAGAATGCTCCAGTCACTAGAACATTCTAGAATACGCTAGAATCTAGTGCGTTCGGTAGCACGGTTATAACAATATATATAAGATAATAATATAGTCTTATATCTTATATATATAGCCTTATATCTTATATATATATATATATATATATATATATATATATATATAAGATAATAATATAGCCTAATCTGATCATTCCGGCGGTTATAACAATATAAAGAGAATTGAGAATAGTTGGATAATTTGTAGTTCCTAGATTTCAAAAAGTAAAAGTTTGACTCGTGGTCGGTTTGCCGCATTTGGTTTTTTACCGTGCTCATCATTATAATCATCGCTATTATTATTATTAAATATAAATTATTTATTTATTATTTATAGTACACACCTGATTTGCACTCCATAGATACGTTGTGTGACAAAGTGTTTTGCTGAGAAATTTTGTTTAAAACTGGTTTCCAGACTTTAAATTCTGCATGCACAGTATGATTGATGTTGGCAATACAACAAATTCTTTGCTTCCATGATGGAGAGTGCATGAGGACGCTCTCGTTCCTTTCTTCACGAAGCCCGTATTGCACATCATAACATATTTCCAGTCCGTTATTTAATAACTAAAAAAATTGTATTTTCCACAATTAAAAGTAAACGGAAAGCAAACATAAGCAATCTATAAACAATTTTCACACTAAAACATATTACAAACTTTTCATGTCATTAATAAATCAGCAATTTGACACTAACTTGCACATTTGCTGGACTACATTTAAGAGTATTTATCTTAATACAAACACTTCCATTCAACTTGTTGAAGGTAAAAAACGTTTTCGTGCAAGTAGGTAACAAACTAAAAGTGTGTACTACGTCTGAAACTGAAAACGGCGTTTGTCTGAGAAAGCAGCCTTCTAATGTGGCACCCCGACACGAAACCACCGCTTTGTAATGTACACCTGTTTTCGCATTGTGGTAAAATAAACTTTATAAAAATTATAAACTTTGTGTGTCAAAAATATTACCCCTTTGATTGTTTGTTAGAAAATAACTGGAACTTAGAAAAGTTAGCCGAGATTATCATGAAGTTTTGCACTTTAAAAAATCTAATAATGCTGCTAGTGTAAAGTGTTTTAAAATAACAAACGAACTTGTTCAGGTCATAACAGAGAGCAAAATATATAGATTAAACAATGGTAAGATTGTGAAAAAATTGAGCACCAAAACTGAAATACAAAAATTCATCTAAACTAATGTATAAATACAAATTTGTCACAGTACTTCTATAGTGTGTATACGTGAGTAAAAGTAATATTTCGTTATTATACATCTTCAGTCTATTCAATTTCATAAATCTTCGCAGGATGCAAATCATGGAAGGAGCAAACGCAAAGAACATCCCGATATACATAACACCCATTGACTTCAGGATAGCCTTTGATTCAATTAACCGCGGAATGAAGTTGCCATCTTAAGTCATTATGAAATGAATACTAGCATATAGATACTAAATGCAATCAGAGTGATGTAAGATACTCACACAAGGTGACGTGCTTGCACCGTTCCTGTTCATAATAGTTATCAATTATGTCTCTAGACAATACACTGAAATCACCTAAATCAACATGTCGACAGAAAAGTAAGCAACCTCAAAGATCATGCGTCTAGTAGAAGAGGCACCCGAACAAAAACTTAACGTACTCGCATACGATGATGACATCACTCTCCAGGAAGGCGACGCCAGAAGGGCACAAAAGCAGTTATCCGCCATCAAAGAAAGTGACTATGCGGTCGGTTTAGAGATAAATGTTGAAAAGACTGTCTAGATTCAACGCCAAATCAGCATCAAAAACACAGCTTATCATCGACGTAAACAACATAACGATTGTCGAAGACTTCAAGTACCTTGGGTCATACATAGTGTCAAGTGAAAAAGGCGGGAACAATTGAATTGCTCTGGAAAACTCAAGACCATCTTGAGATAATTCAAACCCAAAGGCAAGTTCAAAACTCGACTGTGTGTCACGTCTGTCAGTGTTGCTTTATGGTTGCGAATCGTGGACCCAAACTGAAGCCATGGAACATAAACTCGACATATTTGCAAGAAAACGTTATGGAATCATACTACATATCAACCAAGCCGAAGCTCACATTATAAACAAAGAGCTATACAATACAACTGATAAAGTACCAACCAGCAGGTTAATCAAGTCAAGACGGTTGTAATTTGTTAGACAGTGTCTTCAAATAGATAAAAGTGAATTAGCAAACATCTATACCCTCTATAAATCGAATGTAGAAACAAATAAAAAAGGTTGAACTCATCTCTTCTACCAAGCGAAGTTTCGTATATAACTTGAGCACCTGGATTTTGACAATGAACATTTAACGGACGAAATGACCAGACTGGCTAAAGATAAGAAGTTGTGGAGATATATTATCTTGTCTATCAAGCCGGCCCGATGATGATGAGTCAAAAATAAAAAAGAATGAATGTTTACAAAACAATATTTTTATTTTAATCATTTTATTTGCGATGTTAATCAACTCAACCAAGAAACTCTTCATTAAAAATTATTGCAGCCAAACTCCTGCTTCAGTTCTCAACGCGAACTGTCCCTGGCTTTTAAAACCTTGTCTAAAACAAGCTGCATTACATCTGCATAATCTTATGCTGCGCCAGTCACACCAGCACAGTCCGAGGGTCTTTAAATTTTTTAAATAGAGGTGTACATACCTAGTTGAGGTAATTTTGTAAACGTTCGAAAAATCACAATCAAACTTTCATATTGGAGCTTCCCCACGCTGTCCCAAATCTGAAATGCGTCACTTCACAACTTAAGGCGGTAATCGCACAAAATCAAAAAGTTGTTAAAAACTTCCTTTAAAAGTGAGATCATGGGCTTTTTGTGCAACCGTGCATGTGACATTTTAAGAATGTGAATAATCTTATATTATTACCAAATGAATTTCTAAATTCTTAATATAAGATTTGAACATTTCTAAATGTCAAAAATATTTTCTTGAAAATTTTATGAAAAATCCAAAAAATATTTTCTGTTATGTTAAAAAAAGGTGTACACACCTAGTTGAGATGGCATTGATGCTATATGAGGAGATGACCGAACCTCATTATTATCATTCAAATCCACATCACCAACACGATGACTGTCATTAGCAAGATGACCATTATCAGCCCGACTATCATCAGGACGTTGACCATCATCAACATAATGACCATCGTCAGAGCGGTGGTCATCATTAACACGATGACCCTCATCAACATGATAATCATAATTAGGACGATGACTTTCATCAGCACGATGATCGTCATCAACATGATGATAAGTGAGATAATAATCAGAATCACTATATGCAACATCACATGAAACAGCTGCTGCAGCTCCGCTACCTGGCTTACAATCTGTAGGATTTTCAATGATATCGCACTGCCAAATATTTTTTTTTACTAGAACATCATCATTTCGGCAATTCACACTTCCATAAAGCATGGGCATTGCAAAAGTTCGTTGAAATTCCCTTGATGATACTGCATGGAAATTAACTGGACTGAAATAAAAATATCAATCATTTGTCTTCTCTTGCATTATTGCTGTATTATCATTATAAATGATAATATAATTGAAAAATATTTGATATTTTACTTATTATATCCCAAACATTTACAAAAGACATGTGCATCTGCATCATCCCATCCATCTGCACAAATAATTCCCCAAATTCCATTGTTATTTCGAACTTCCGCTAGACCTTCGTGTACATTCTTTGAATTGTTTCCAGGTCTGATCCTCTGCCTCGATGAATCACAAGACCCTTTGAAATTTTTCAAAACGATAAATCTATCGGGCGTGCGAATTCGCACGCCAACCATGAACTTGTTAGGCTGCTATAAGCCGTGCGAACGAAAAAATATGTTCAAAACTTTTTATGCCGGATATTAATTTAACAAGTGAAAATTTCCGTTACTTACAATTGAAAATAAATTTTTTAAAATAAATTTTTATTTGCGCATCGTAATACAAATATTTATTATCTTTGGCAAGAGTTTATTTTCTTTTTTTTCAGTTGTGGGCGGAGAGGCTTTTGAAGATTTGTTTGATTTTGATTGTTTTGTTTGATTTAATTAAATAAAATTAAATTTGTTACTCTGTGTGGTACAGTTTATGTGGCATACTGCAAAAATCGGAAGGTAGTAATAGCAAACTTTACAATAATTATATTTTGTCTATTATTGTTTATTGATTATGATAATATTTTAAAAATTAAATTGATTGTGATAATATTTTAAAAATTAAATTGATTGTGATAATATTTTAAAAATTAAATTGATTGTGATAATATTTTAAAAATTAAATTGAAATATTTAATAATGATTAGTGATAATTAAATTTTGTTTTTTGTTGTATGTTGATAGTGATAATAATACTTGAAAAGTTAAATTGAAATTTTTTAATAATGATTAATAAATTTTGTTTATTGATAGTAATAATAATATTTAACAAATTGAAATATTTAATAATGAAAAAATGGTAAATTTTTATAGCAAATTTTGTCATGGCTGCTTAAACACTTTAGGAGTTTATTATTAAGCAAATGTCTTTGGAGCACAACCATGATGTTGGTGCATCTGTATTTGCACTATGACTCTCATGGGTTTTATCTGAAGAAACAGCCAAAAACTGTTCATACGGATTGACAAGCATCATTTAACGATGTTAAAGAAATAACTGATCCAAGATACACAGGAACTTCAAAACGTTTGGTTCCCCGGACGATTGATACTGCTTTTTAAGACGATTGTCCTGATTTTTAAGACGATTGGTCCTGATTTCTAGGACGATTGGTCCCGTGTATTTTTGGACGATTGGTCCTAAAAGACGATTGGTCCTGAAATTTTGAACGATTGGTCCTAAAACTTCAGTGACGTAAATGAGATGTTCTGAACATATTTTTTTGACTATACTAACATTCCAACAAAAAATTAATAAAAAAAGTTGAAGACAATTTTACTAAATGTCATTAACTTACTAAATTACTTGATGAATTTTCTTTAATATTCTATCCTATTCTCAAGTTTCACAATTATCATGTAATATGTTTTAATAAGTCTAAACATTCTATTATCATACCTGATTCACAGGTGTAGAACATGTGAAATGATTGGACCCAAGAGATTATTCAACTTGTGCGTTTCAACATTTCCGTAGTATATACCCAGGAGCAAAGCCATTTAAATTATATTCAAAAATGTCAAAATCGGTTTATAAGACTAGTATTTACTCTTCCACCGCGTACTCATATAACCAATGCTTACTATTCGACACTCAACATTTTACCCATTAAAGAATTGAACATTTATTTCACATCAATTTTTGTATTTAAATTTTTACGTCAACAGTTGCCTAATATTTTGCCAATTTTTTCACTTTTAGCAATCACATTCAAAGGAAATTTACTAGACACACTTCTCTTTTCTATTTTCATACTGTGAGATTAAAAGCTTTTCACTCAAGCATCAAGCTTAATGGTCCGAGGGTATGGGATACTGTATTGCCACATGAAATTGAAACAATCAACTCATTATACTTATTTAAAAAAAAGCTAAAAACTTTTTTAGTTAAAAAAAACACTTATTTTAAATAGTTTTTCACTATTTTACAACTTATTTAATTTTGATGTTCTTAGTAAGCGAATTTTTCAGTCTCAGTTGTGACTATACTGTCACCTTTAGGTACTGTATGAAACATGACAGTATTCATAGAATGATGTACGTGTGAGCATGTGTTTGTGTATATGTATTTATTTGACATTTCTGTTACATTTATAGTAAGAATTTGTGTGTATGTATTTATTTGACATTTCTGTTACATTTAAAGTTGGAATTCTTAGTTAAGGGTGGCCTATCCACAAGTTTATCTTTTTTGGTTATCCTTTAAATAAATAAAAATAAAAAAAATAGTCAACAAAAATGGTGGTTTAGTGATAGTATATGATACATTGATTTGGGAGATAGTTTATTGGCATAACAAATGATATCACTAGTAACACTGATAATAATCCGCTTTGTTTAGTTGGATTTATCGGATTAGCGTATAACTAAGTCATGTCAGAGCGGAGACGTTTAGTCGCGTGGAACAATTTTCTTTGAAAGAACCGATTTGAGACACGAGATCCGGTGTCGATGAGATTTAGTTTGTTGTTGACTGTACAAATTGTATAACAACTCTAGTGCTTTGCTATACGGAAACAGAAATATATATTCAAGCCCAAGCTCAGAAAAAAAAATTTCATCGACGGCAAAGACATATTTCGAAAGTTGACATATGACTAATAGTGTTATGAGAAATTATTAATATAATATTACCATTATAAAAGTTGTTTTTAAATACTTTTTAAATATTATTTCAGGTTTGGTTGAGTTATATGGATTTTGTTGTAGTTGTATGTGGGTTTTGAAGTTGTTGACGCTAATTAGTGGATATTTTACAATATTATTTGCCAGAGTATTATATTGTTGAATAGCTTACGGTTTTTATTCACGTTGGGTCGTGCTGCTGTCGGAAAAAATTTAGGTGTCAGGTGTGTGGTGTACCTCGAGGCAAATGTTTAACCTTCATTTGGTACTTGAAAAAAACTTACGTTTCTGGTACTTGAACCCCAATATAATTTTTCTATATACATAAATTTTAACAAATTTAATTTTTTCGAAAATAAAGTTATAATATTTTTAACTAAAAAACATGTATTAAGTATTTTTTATGAAATGAAATAATGCACTAAACTAGGTTACGTTGGTACGGAGAGAACTCGCAGACTCGATATAAGTATGATTTTAATTCTTTTAATAAGTTAATACAATCTTCAACTTTGTGCAATGTGACACTATAACAAGCCATCATTATCGATGATTAATCTGTTTCTAAATTTATTAGTGGGAAAGATTCCAATTGAACGTTGTTGAATATTTATTATCGGATGTCTTTGTTCTATTTAATAGTGTATTTAATAGTTACTCGTAGTTTAATACTATCGTTTTTGATTTAAAAAGCAACATCCAATGAAAGGAGTGATTGGTGGGGTTTAGAAGTTTGAAGTCTTGTGGTAAACTGCCTCTTGTAGCCAAGAGGCAGTTTACCACAATCGACCTCCCAATTTTTCAACCGAAAACCCGCTTTCAGATAATAATTCATAGACTTGGCAGGATAACAAAAATTTTTTATGTGTTTAACAAATTTTGTGAATAGTTGGCAGACTCCGCCCAAACAACAAACAAAACTATGATGGCCAAGTTCATCCGCCCCCGCGCCGCACCTGCATGTATATCGACTCTGAACGGCCATCCCCAT